GGCTCAGGGTCACACATCTCTCTGTGGCATGCCTCAGTCCCTGAGCTCTCGCTACCTGACTGCAGGACTAGCCTCCTGCCACTCCTGTCTCCCGTGCAGTGCAGCCCTGCGTGGGGCTTGCTGTCGGGCAGTGCCACTCAGTAGTCTGGGAGTTTGCACTAGCCAGTGGGCACTGTGGCCAGAAAGGTGCTGCCGGCCACCCTGTAGACTTGGCTCCGCCTTGGACCAGCCGCAGAATCCCAGCAGTTTTCTTTCAACTCTCACCAAGCTTTCCTTGGGCCAGGACACTTATCTAACTCCCTTAATCCCCAGACAGGGCAGGAGGGTGTTGAAGCCGGACCCCAGGGTTCTCTGACATGCCAGGCTGCCCTTCCAACCCAGTCCTCTGGCCATGTTGATGAAACTGCACAGGGACAACAGTGCAGCCTGGAGAAGCTTTCGTCACATGTAGACGCCCACAGGACTATGGAGGGGGTGAGGGGGGCACTTCAGAGTGACTCCAGGAAGCTCGGTGTTCCTTGTGTCCTGCCCAAGTCTAGGCCACAGCTCAATAAATAACTTGCCCTGAGCTGCCCCTGTAGGGCCAAGGCTATAGTGTGCTGGAATGGGCAGCAGCATGGGGCAGTAGAGGTCCTCACCGTGTGCGGATGCAGGAGGCCTCCACAGCATTGATGAGCAGGGAGCGGAAGCCCCCACTCTCCAACACGTGCAGGGCGTGGATGGTGGCCCCGCCGGGAGAGCAGACGTTGTCTTTGAGCTGGCCTGGGTGCTCTTCCGAGTCCAGTAGCATCCTGGCGGCTCCCTGCAGCCAGAGAGGTACTAATGGGGATGGGCCATCCCCCTGCCTCTGCAAGCACAGTCCCCAGCCACTCCAGCACAGTAATAGCCAACTCCCCACCCATCTGCCCCTGTGTACAGGGTCAGAGCTGGCAATGAACCACCCTCACCAGAGGATCAGGAAACACTGACCAGAAGGGCCTGGGCCCCAAGGCGGACTGCCAGGCGCCTTGGAAGTCCCATTTTAACACCGCCATCAGCCAGGGCATCCAGGGCAGTGAATGCCTGCAAGGAGAAGGCACCCTGAGCCACAGTCCTGGCCTCTCTTCCTCTCCCTCTGTGGCCCAGAGCTCAGTGCAAGAGAGCACCAGTTCCCACAGCCATGAAGTTCCCACCCAGCCCTCCAAGGGAAGCAGAAACAGAGGGTACCCCAGAACCCTAGGAACTTTCAACTCCCCCCAGTCACCACCCACTACTACCAGCCCTCACATAGGCAGGGCCACTGCCACTGAGCCCTGTGACAGCATCAATCAGGTCCTCCTCCACCTCTGTGCAGAAGCCCACGCTGCCTAGGAGCTGTTCCAGGAGCCTGCCATCCTCCACTTGGGCATGGGTGCCCGTGGCATATACGGTAACCCCCTCTCGCACCACAACTGGGGTGTTGGTCATGCACCGAATAACCTTGGGCGCTGGTCGAAATGCTGTCAGTTTCTGGAGAAGAAACGGGGTGTGTCACCCTGGCCTTGGCCACCCATCCTCACCTCAGGTAGGCATACGTATGGACGTGCTGCCCTAGTGGAACACTTCCTGCCCACTCACAGATGGAGAGCCCAGGCATGGAGTTCCTGTGTGCACTCCACGTCCCCACCCTCACCCTCACCCCAGCAGGCCCCGTGAACCCAGCCCACAGCACCCACCTTCTCAATGGAGCTGATGGTAACACCAGCTGCACAGGACACCACAATGTGCCTGTCCTCAATGTCAGTGCCAATCTCATCCAGGATGAAGGGGATGATATGCGGCTTCACGGCCAGGAAGAGCACGTCACTGTGCCGCACAGTCTCCTTGTTGTGGGGTGTCAGGTTCACCCCTATCTTCTGCAGAAATGTAAGGCAACTCAGACTGCCCCAGAAGTTGTCCTCCCCTCTGCTTAACCCAGAGGCTGCTGGGCCAGTTACAGGCTGAGCTGAGGGCCCACAGCACAGAGCCTGGAACACCCTCAGCTGCCTTCTCGCCCAGAAATGTAGGAAGCACTCTGTTCTTCATCGAGTCCCCTTTGCAGACAGAAAAGGGACACTGCATGCAAGCCACAACCCCAACCCCCTCCCCCATCTCAGGATGCAGCCTCCAGAGATGCCTGCTCTTCAGGTATGGGTAACAGTCAAGTTGAAAGCTTGCCTACCCTTAGATCTGGAATCCTGACTCAGAGGTGACAAACTGAAGCTGTATTCAGCCCCAGGTGTGTCTTGTCTGGCCTTCTGCTATGGCCCCATCTGCCTGACTCCCAGAGCTCCCTGTGAACACTGCTCCCACCAGCCTTGCATACCACCAGCAATGGAAGCCATAGGCAGGGCCAGGAGGCAGGACCTGGAGACACACCAGCCCAGGCCCAGCCACTGTCAGGGCTGCCCAACACCCAGCCCCAGACACTGACTCTCTAGGAACCCAGCCTTCCTGCCTACCCTCTGCCCAGTACCTACCCTGAGGGCAGAAACTGTGGCCAGGTCCATGTCTGGGGAACTGGCCATTATCTTGTGGGCAGCCAGGATACCTGGGGTGGGCAAGACAAGTTTTCCTCCCTCAAGGCCAATTCCGGCCTCTCTCTCCCACCTTTGGGGGAAAGAAGCTGCAGAGAAGTCCCACCCTCAGGATAAAAGAGGAACCCCAAACATATGGAAGCTTCCAATCCCTCAGGACTCAAGCCAAGTAACTCAGACCCCCACCTTCAGCCCCAGCCCTACCCAGGGTAAGGGGGCCCAACCTCATCCATTTGGTCCCTTCTTGACCCCAGAGTCTACCTGCTGATGTGAAGCCCTTGGCTAGAGCGAAGGCCAGCTGGCCAGCCCCGATGAAGCCCACGCTCATGACGCCTGGAGGCCGGAAGCCCGAAGCCCTCACAGCTGGTTTCGGCTCTGCAGGGCAGGATGGAGAGCTGGAAGTTAGGTGGTCAGCACCAGGGCTGGCCACTAATCAGGCGGCCAGGCGCCCCGCTACCTCCTAACCCAGCCAGCCTAACCGGATGTTGCCCATCCGTCCCGCTCGGTAACTGTCCCAGCTCCCCCCCCCCCCGCCCACAACAACGCAGTCCCCGGCCCGCTGTCGAGGGTCGCGAGCTCTCTGGACGAGCCAGGGAGCCGCCGGGAATGAGAGAGGACCGGGAGAGAACCCAGCGCCAGGAGGCCCTCCACGTCCGAGCCCCCGCCTGCCCGCGCCCCAGCAGCAGAACGCCCGCGGCACCCCCGCCCACCTAAAGCCGCGCAGGCTGTCCCGCCGCAGCGCCGCGCCCGCCACGCGGCACCCGCGCCCCGGCCCCGCCCCCCTCTGCCCCAGCCAATCCTCGGTGCAGCCGCCGCGCGCCGGCCAATCGGGAGCGGCGACCGGAGCCTGGGGTGTTGCATCATTCCGGAGGCCGGCCGGTCGGCCCCGCCCCACTCCGGCCGCCGGGGGTGGGAGGCGCTAGCGCTTCCAGGCAGCGGCCCGGAGACCCCTCCGGGTGGGTGTCTCCTCGGTAGAGCTTCCTCGCAGACCGCCTTTGGAAGCTGGCCACTCTGTGGTCACAGGCCTCTACACACACTCCGAACAGGTGGTGTTCAACTCGTAAATTGGGGAGGACGATCCTGTAGTGCCCCAGCTCCCCAAGTTCCTGGAACTCTTAGGCCCTGGGTTTTAGGGAGAACAGGACTGTAGTCATCCTTCCCGCGCCCCAGGGCATGCCCAGGACCTATTTCCCTGTGTTGGGGCTGCAGGATAGTCTAGGACCATGGCATAGTAGAAGTGATCACCACGACAACCCATCCCCCCACGGAGGGCAGAGGTGTCCTGTATCATTTTTTTTCTGTTGTGTGTCTTAAATGAGGACCAGCTGTGGGCCAGGTGCAGTGGCAACGCCTGTAATCCCAGTGGCTCTGGAGGCTGAGGCAGGAGGGTCACCAGAGTTCAAAGGTTTAAAGCCAGCCTCAGCAACTTAGCGAGGCCCTGTGCAATTTAGTGAGATCCTGTCTCTAAATAAAATATTTGAAAAAGCGCTGGGGATGTGGCTCAGTGGTCAAGCACCTCTGGGTTCCATTCCGGATTATCAAACACCCCCCCCCAAAAAAAAAGGGTGAGGACAAGCTGCTTCAGAAAATAACCTGAGAATGATTAAGATGTTTTTGTCCTGCAGGCCTGGCTGCAAACTCTGGCATCCTGTCCCCCTGGTTTCCTTCTCCTTGACCTTTAACTGTGACCACCAACACCAGGGCCCTGTTTGGGAGGGATGAGTTTGGTCTTTGCACTCCAAGGGAGGGCCTGGGTAATGGTGGGTTTCCACAGTGCAGCTCAGACCCATGACAGGAAGCCAGGTCTGCTTTACACTCCTAGAACAGAGCTCCCTGTGTAACGGGCACTGTTCTCCAAGTGGTAACAACACATCTTACTCTTTCCTAAAAACAAAGCCAAGACCATCCTCTGGTCCAGGGAGTAACCATGGCAGGACCAGCCCTGAGACGAGCCTCCCGAAGCCCTTCTCCCAGGCCCCTCCTCTGCCTTACCTCAGGATCTCTGAAATTCGGGTGGCGTGGGTGCGGGGGCCAGAAAACCCCTGGGCCATTGAGGAGACTGGGGGCTTGGTGACAGGTACTTTGTTTCAAAGCTTTGTCTATCGGAGGAAGGAAAGAAGAAAGCAGGGTCCCTCCTGGATCATGTCCAGCCCTCCCCTGAGAGTCAGGATGGACGTGGCCCACCTGTGACATGACCTCCTGACCCCAGCCTTCTCAGCCCCAAGACCCAGCAGCTGTCTACCTGCCCTTGGGGATCTGCTGTTGAGCCCTAAGCCCTCACCCCCTCCAAGTAGAAGACATTGGTCCAGACCCAGCTTGTTGACTGACTCAAGGGTACCCTCTCCAGCCAGCCAGCCCAGGCCACTGGGCTTACGTGGTACCACAGGACCATCGGGGCCTGCCTCGGGGCTGCTCGGAAGCTGTCAGAAAGGGCTATCCAGAAAGGGCAGCAGCCCCTCTGCCCATGCCCCAAGTCACGGAGACTCCCAGGTGGAGGTGTGGGATGAGTGCCAAGGCCTCTAGGAAGGAGGGGACTGAGCTGACCCTCCTTCTCCCCACTGGCCCATCTGAGCCCTCCTGGACTGTCACCCACCAAGGAGGAGCCCAGTTCCTCAGGAGATGAGGCCCAGCCTTCCCTGCACTCCAGAGCCCAGGGTGCTCCTAGGGCCACGTCTTCCTTCAGCCAGGCCCCAGTGCAGACCCTCCTCCCAGGGCATGCCGGGAGCCCAGGAGGTGTAACTGGGCACAGCCCCTCAGCAAAGAAGGCGTAGCCACAGCTGGGGTGCAAATGAATCTCCTTTTATTTACTGCTCAGGGTCCTGGGAACAGCCATGAGCCGAGGGACCGACAAGCTGCTGCACACGTGCTCCTGCTCTGGTGGCCGGTGGCCTGCCCTGGGCTGGGCTCTTGTGCAGGAGAAGCTGGCTGGAGCGTGGAGGATGTTGGTGCCAGTGGGCCCTGAGGGTCAGGAGCAGCAGGCAGCTAGATGCCTGGTGCCCAGGCTCCATGTTCTAGCGACTGCCCCGGGCCGGGCCCTTACCCCGTGTCAGGACTGCCCACCAGGCCAGCCTCCTGCAGGAGTCTCTACAGAAGCTGCTACGTCACAGCCCATGGTGGGCATTGGGCAGGGCCTCCATCACTGGGAACCCAACACCTTGGCACTCTGCTCCTGGTGGTGCTGCCAGCTCAGCAGGCCCTTCCAGGCCACCAGCACCATCTCCAGCCACTGAGCTCTGGAAGGCAGCCCTGGGTGGCCATAGCACAGTCCTCACTTGGCTTCCAGTGGCTGTGGCCACCGGGAGGCTCCCCAGAGGCCAGTGAAGCAGGGTCCTGATTTCTGGGCTCCTTCTCTGTGAGCTGGTGCAGTTTCCAGCAGAGCTCCCTTCACAGGGTTCCGGGCACTGCCCCTTCTAAAGGAGGAGGAGGTTTCAGTCGACCCCATGGGCCTGACTCTGGTGCTCCTGGGCTTGTGTGTGACCCTTCCCACACCTCTGGAAATCGTCCGCTTTCTAACATGTTACCCAGTGTGAGTGCCATGTCCAGACACTGAAGGACATGCTGGTCCACCTCTGAAGTCCATTTAGCCTGCGCGTCCTTATCTATAAAATGGGTCACAGCAGCACCTGCTCCAAGGTTTCCCACATTACAGTGGTCAGTATTGGACCCAGGGAGGACTGGGAAATGGAGAGAGAGAGAGAGAAACACAGAGACAGAGAGAGATTAGAAACAGACGGAGACGGGAAGAGATGGGAAGAGAGCTGCCCTGTCTTCCTGCTCAGGGCCTCTGCCCCCACCCTTCCTCGGACCCCATCCAGCCCAACCTCAGAGTGGAGCCAGAAGTCCAGGCGTCCTCTGCCCGTTGCGTGCGTCTACTCCAAGCCCTCGGACTCCCTCCTGCTCGCCCTCACGTCTGTTCACCCGGGTCACCCACGCATGCCTGTCACCCCCAGCCAGAGCGGGGAGGTGGGCCAGTGGCCACTTGCCAGGCTACAGGGTGGGCACGAAGCGGATCCTCTGGGAGTAGGCAAGGTCGATGACGTAGAGGAGCAGATTGACGTAGGTGAAGATGGCTACCACCAGCTGGCTGTCCCAGGGGCAGCTGCCGCGGGGGCAATCGGGGGGCTTCCTGGGCTCCCCGTACTTGGGATCAAAACAGAAGACCGGCCAGATCACAGCGGCGCTGAGGTACAGGAGCACAGCCAGGAAGGTGTACACCACCACCAGGCGGTCGAAGGGGCAGCCCAGGCCCCCCGTGTGGCCCATCACACTCAGAGCCACCACGGCCACTGTGGCCAGGAAGCACAAGCTATAGACAGCCACACACCACTGGGTGGCCATGTAGCGCCCATAGCGGCTGTCATGGACCAGTGCCCCAAAGATGATGCAGGCCACAAAGGCCTGGACGATCTTGAGAAGCCCTGACACTGTGGCCATGTAGCTGGCCACCTGGCCAGGCCGGGCCCGTGTTAGGGCCACCTCCGCTGCGTAGGCCAGAAAGAGGAGCCCAGCAAAGACGCTGGCCGCCAGGCGGAAGTCCCTAGCTGCGCAGCCAGCAGGCTCAGGTGGACACTCCAGCCGGGTGAAGTACAGTGGGTAGACGACGGCAGCCGTGGCACACAGCAGCGTGGCCAGCATGGCGAAGGCCGCTGTGAAGTTGCCCCAGGAGAGGCGGAGACAACCGTGGAGCTGTGTGAACTCACAGGCCACCACCAGGAGTGACACTGCGAAGCAGAAGCCCCAGGCAGCCACGCAGAAGGTGCCCTGGACGCCCGCAAAGCCACCCCGGTGGGCAACCAGGCTGAAGGTGGTGCAGCCAAAGGCCAGCTGCAGTACCCGGGCTGTGCCCACTGGGGATGTCACAGCACCCAGGTGCAGGTATGCACCCCCGGGGGGCTCCACGGTGCTCCCCATCTGGCCAGCCACCTCTTGGCTTCACGCAGTGCCCCACAGCCCTGGGGTTCCTGATGGCCTGGGGGCCCTCTGTCCTCTGCAGTAGTGACAGGTGCCGGCAGCCTGCAGCAGCGGTGACGATGGTGACATTGCAGCAGGGCAGCCTCTCTGCTGCCTGAGTGGTGAGCGCCCCCCTCCCTGCAGCTATAAATAGACAACCTCCATCAGAGCCCCGGAATAGCAGCCTGTGTGCCTGTCCACGTCCAGGAGGAGCATCTGACCCCTTCGTCCCACGCAGATTCTCTGCTGGGACGTTAACCCCTGGACTGCCTGAGCACCTGCACCCTTCAGTCCGGTCAGTGACAGGGATGGGTGGGGAGAATGCAGAGAGCACGGGCTCCCCCTCCACCCAGCCCCAGCAGCCTCCACAGCCAGCTCTGGGGGAGGGGCACAGGAGGTGGGAGGACCTGGGGGGCTCCCTTCTTGTCACTCACCCCACCCCTCCCAGACAGTGCCTCTAGAATTCTGCTGGGTTTCAGAACCCTGTTGTCCTTGTCCCTGGAGCTCTGGGGAAGGGGAGTGAAGTGTGGAGACCCCAGGCCACTTGTCAAGAGTCCATCCTCATTCTGGCCATGATCTCCAGCCTGGCCCTGGTGGTGCTGGGCTGGGGAGGTGGGAGGTTGGGTTTTTAGTTTTTATCTGGAGGTGGCCTCCGATAGCCTCTGTCCTTCTTAGGCATGGAAACACCTAGAAAATAGATCTGCACCGTTGCTTTGGTTTTTTGTCTTTGGTGCTGGGGATTGAAACTTCGGGGGCTTTTACCCCTGAGCTACATTCCTAGTGCTATTTATTCAGTCAGTTTTTACTAAGGACTGACCCCAGTGTTCAGCCGCAGAGCCACGACCCCAGCCATTTGTTCTATTTTGTTTTATTTCATTTCATTTTGATGCAGGACATTGCTGAGTAGCCCAGGCTGACTGGGAATTGTGGTCCTCCTCCCTCGGCCTCCAGAGTCGCTGGGATTACAGGAGCACTGCTTGTTTTATGTTATTTATTGTTTATTTATTTATTTTGAGACCGGATCTCGCTGTGTTGCCCTCAAACTTCTGGGCTCAAGTGTTCCTCCTGCCTCAGCCTCTGGAGCAGCTGAGATTACCAGTGGGCACCATTGTACCTGGCTAACTTCCCCTACACCCACAAGTACTGAGGATTGAACTCAGGGGCACTTTGCCACTGAGCTACATCCCCAGCCCTTTTATGTGTTTTATTTAGACACTGGATCTTGCTGAGTTGCTAAATGCCTTACTAAGTTGTTGAAGCCGGCTTTGAACTCATGATCCTCCTGCCTCAGCCTCCGAATCGCTAAGATTACAGGTGTGTACTACCACACCTTTTTTTTTTTTTTAGTTGTCAATTGATCTTCCATTTTTATATTTATATGTGATGCTGAGGATCGAATCCAGGCAGGGCCTCATACACACCAGGCAAGTGCTATACCACTGATCCACAACTCCAGCCCTCCATTTTTTTTTAATTTTAGTTATTTTGTATGTATTTGTTGATGGACCTTTATTTTATGTATTTATATGCGGTGCTGAACCCAGGGCCTCACACATGCTCGGCAAGTGCTCCACCACTGAGCCCCAGCCCAGCCCACGCCCTCCATTTTTTTAAAAATATGTATTTTTCAGTAGTAGATGGACACAATACCTTTATTTTATTTATTTACTTTTATGTGGTGCTGAGGATCGCATGTGCTCGGCGAGCACTCTACAGCTGAGCCACAGCCTCAGCCCCATGCCCTCCATTTTTAAATTAAGTTTTATGTGTTTGTTTTTGGTGCTGTGGATTGACTTCAGCACCTTGTACATGCTAGGATCACGCACCCTCTCACTGAACTGTAAGTCCAACTCCATGCTGAAATTTTAATGCAATATGAAATGTTTCTGAAATAGTAAGCAAATTCTGATTGTAAAGCTAGTAGATGCTCAGACCCAGTCAGTAAAGAAAAGAGAAAGAAGGAAGCATCACCTAAAATTCCACTGGATCAAACCCCTGTTAAAATGTCATGGTGTCGGCCCTGGGGAGGTGGCTCAGTGAAGAGCACACACACACACACAAAGAATGTCCAGGGCTGGGTTGTGGCTCAGTGGTAGAGCACTTGACTAGCATGTGTGAGGCACTGGATTTGATCCAAGGCACCACATAAAAATAAACAAATGATATAAAGGTATTGTGTCCATCTACAACTAAAAAAAAATACTAAAAAAAGGACCAGGGATATAGCTCAGTTGGTGGAGTGCTTGCTTCACATGCACAAGGCCCTGGGTTCAATTCCCAGCAACACACACATGCACACGCACACGCACACGCACACACACCACACACACACTAGAATGTCTGGTGTATCTTCATAGATGTTCCCTCAACTTGTAGTCAGAAAAACTTCAGATCTGGGGAAGAGTTGCAAGAGTGTGACCAACACAGTGCCTCCTTCCCCCAGAGTCAAGGATTTTCTTGGTGTGTGCGCACGCCCAGGAACTGGTCATGGTGTGCCCTGTCTGCACCTCCATTAGTTAGTTAATCAATCAGCTCTAGTTCTAGATGTGACAGTGTGGCCCTAGACACTTCCATAGTGGCTCCTCAGAGCAAGGCCATTTTCCTAGAGAAGCATGACATAGCCATGATGTCCAGATACACGTCCCCACCTGTCCTTGGAATACAGATCTGACCGGGGGATGCCCCGGGGTGGCCATCCCGGCCTTCACCACTCTTTACTCTGGAGCCGTCCTTCTTTGGGTGTCGTCGCACTGACCTTTTCAGGGCTGTCACAGACTGGCCTTCAGAACGAGTGCTGTCTGCCTGTTTCCTCCTGGTTGGGCTCCAAGCTGAATGCTTGTGGCAGAAAAACCCGGCAGGGGACATCTCATGTGACAGTTCACCCAGAGCCTGTGAAGGTCAGCCGTCTGGTTGGGGCCCCCACTTAGGTGTCCGCTTGATCCCTTTTATGCGGCCTTCCCCGGGGGTCTTGGTGTCTGTTGATGCTTCTCAAGGGCTCCTCCGCTCCAGGGTGTCCCCCGGGACCCTTCCACAGGAGTTCCTGCAATACGAAGAAACACCTCCTGGGATGACAGGTGCGTGCTGTAGCGTCTGGCACCAGCCACTGTGTGTGCAGGGACCACAGAGCTGATCCCCACAGCCCATCTCTTCATCTCAGTTTTGCCAAAGAAGCAGCAAGTGTCCGACCTCAGATCTCTTCACCGCTGAGAGGCTGGCACCACATTGGTCCGGTGGTTACTGATGATCCCAACCTTCTTATTTATTTATTTACTTTTTTGGTTCTGGGGATTGAAACCAGGGGTGCTCGACCACTGAGCCACAGCCACAGCCCTTTTAAAAATATTTTTTTTGGACACAGGGTCTTGCTGAGTTGTTTAAGGCCTCGCTAAGTTGCTGAAGCCGGCTTTGTTATTTTTTTTTTTAAAGAGAAAGAGACACAGAGAATTTTTTTAATATTTATTAATTTTTTTTAGTTTTCGGCAGACACAACATCTTTGTTTGTATGTGGTGCTGAGGATCGAACCCGGGCCGCACGCATGCCAGGTGAGCGCGCTACTGCTTGAGCCACATCCCCAGCCCCTGAAGCTGGCTTTGGACTCAAGATCCTCCTGCCTCAGCCTCTTAAGCTGCCAGGCCATCTCAACCTTCCTGGTGTCACCACCCCTTAGGTCCAACCCCAGAGCCAATCCCTCTGCTCCTACCCTTGGCCTCTACTCTGTCCGCCCACATCTGCCACCCATGAGCAGCTGGCTGTGGCACCTGAAGCCCTGGGCACTTCAGGGAAACCTAGCTTCAGCACTGCCAGGGCCTATGGTGTCCCCAGGGGCATCAGGCTGGCCTGCACAAATGGGCAACAGAGGTCTCAACCAAGGAAAGACCATCCTGGGAGCCCTGCTGGGCACCTCAGAGTGACCAGCGGACTCTGAGTTCTGAGTGAAAGTGACCCTGGGAGCCACCATAGCAGTCCCAGAGTCAGCAGCTGTGACTGCCTGCAGCCCCAGAGCCGTGGGCGGGCTCCCTGCCAGCCCCCTCCAGGCCCACCTCAGCCTGCAGGGCCCCGGCCAGGAGAAGGCTGTGTCCTCCAGGGGCTGCACTGGGCTAGGGAGGAAGAGGGGATGGGGAGTCCTGGGCCTGTCAGATGCCAGAAGGCCCCATGGGCTGGAGTCTGGGGAGGGCGGTGCCACCCGAAGAGGTCTCCTTATCACCCTTCTGCACACGCGGATGCTGAGGCTGTTTAGCCCTGGCTTCCAGCCACCACCCCACCCTCTGTCCCACAGCGGCTCTCCCCAAGACCTTGGGAAGCACCTGGGTTGGTGGGCCAGCCAGCCTCGGTGTCTACCTCAGGGTGTGGCTTTTCCTGACCCACCCTGCCAAGGTGATGGCTATGCACAAGTGACCCCTAGGCTGGGTGAGGCTGGGCTCCCTCCTGCCACCATGTTCCCCCACCCCTTCCTGCCTGTGGGTGGGGGTCAAGCCTCCATGTTTTCACATAAAGATGAGAAATGAAGTGTCCAGAGGAGCAGAGGACAGGGTGTAGGCACAGCCACCGCCCCAGCCCTGGTTGCTGTCTCCCCTTCTTATTATCAGCTCCTTCTCAGAAGACAGGCCTTCAGGGGCTGTGTGAGAAGAGATGGGAAACAGAATCTACCTCCTCTTCTAGCCACTGGGCTCCCAGCCACCTTCCCAAGGCTGACCCCTGAGACCCTCATGCAGCACCTAGCTTGGTGGGAGTCTAAGGCAGAAGGATGGCTTTGGCCCTGGAGTTGAGGCCAGCAGGCTCATATAGGGAGATCCCTGTCTGAACAAAAGTGCTATGTGCTCTGCTGCCAGGACTGTGCCCACCACAGTGGGGCTTCTGTCTCTAGTGTGGAAGCCCCTGGTCCTCACCCCTTGATCCTGTTACCCACCGACTTGCTCAGCACCCTGGGCTGGGAAGCAGACTGGGCAGCTGACCCAAGGCTGGCCCGGAAAACCCAGAGCAGCTCCACACACGGGCTGTGCCTCAAATCCCAGACACCAGGCCCCAGCAGTCAGCCAGCCACGATCTGCCTGGACTCACAGCAGCAGCGGCTCCGAGCCTGCATCGCCTGCTCCTCAGGGGTGGAAGCGAAGGGAAAAGTTTCCGCAGCAAGGGAGCTGCAGGCCACCCAGAGGCTCAGCAGTGTGTGGGGTGCCCTGACCTCAGTGCCACAGTGCGGGCTGACAGGCGCCCTAGGGTCACAGTGCAGACGAGAGAGGACAGGCCTGAGGGGGTCGTGGGAGGAGCCCGCACAGGCACTGTGTGGGTGGCACCGTTCACTGTTCCAACAGGAGGCCCTGTGGGTAGGTAGGCCTCAGAGACAGGGAGGGGCTGGGCGAGCCCCCAAAATGTCCCCTGCAGCGACTTCTAAGAGGGAATACGCTGTCGGGAGCTGCCACACAGGAACAAGCGCCCCTTGGCCCCGAGAGATGGGAATGTGGATGTGGCGAGCCAGCCGTGGGCTGAGTGCGTGGACTCTGGGCACTGGGCACACAGGGTGGGCCGAACCCATGTGGCCCCTCTGTTTGGGCAGGCCTCGCTCTGCCATGACCCCCGCACAGCTCCTGAGATGGGCACGGCCTTCCTAGATGTCAGTCAACCTGCTGACAGCAGACGTCAGGAAGCTAGACTCAGCCCCCGCAACCTGACCCCTTGCCTCATTGAATGGCCTCTCCCCAATAAAAGGGTTCAGCACGTTCTCTCTCTCTCTCTCTCTCTCTCTCTCTCTCTCTCTCTCTGTCTTTCCAGGGACCCTAGGGTCAGAGGAGCTGTCACAGGACCCAAAGAAAAAGGTCTCTCTGTCTCTGTGTGGTTATGTGGTGCAGCCCAGTTCACCTGGAGTGACCCTGAGTGTTTAGTTGTGAAATGAGACAGTTCTCGGCGCCTCTGCTTGTTCTTTGGACTTTATAATTTTTTTTTCCAAAATAAATCAGATACTTTCTAAACTACTATAAAGAAGACTAGTTTTAAAAATTGTCAACTATAAAAAATTGTCATGCTTTAAAACTTAAAAGCTAATGCATATTCTTGTATGAATAAAAAAAAAAACTTGCCTTTACAAAATTTGTGCTTTAAAAATCGTTTTTTGTACTTGTAGATGGACAGAATGACTTTGTTTTGTTTATTTTTATGCAATGCTGAGGATCAAACCCAGTACCTCACACACGCCAGGCAAGCGCTCTGCCACTGAACTATAACCCCAGACCCAAAATTTTCTGTTACAAAAATTTAAGTTTCTTTCTTTCTTCTCATTCTCCTTCTATTTTTCCTTTGTGCCAGGAATTCAACATTCAACCCAGGGCCGCTTTACCACTGAGCCACATCCCCAGTCCATTTTTTAAATTTTTGAATCAGGGTGTTGCTAAGTTGCTAGGCTGGACTGGAACTTGTGATCCTCCTGCCTCAGCCTCCTGAGTGGCTGGGAATACAGGCATGTGCCACTATACTCAGAGTTTCTTTTTTTAGAACTATTTTATTTTGTGGTCCTGAGGATTGAACCCAAATGCTCTAATACTGAGGCACATCCCCAGCTGTTTTGATTTTATTTATTTTAATATTTATTTTTTAGGTGTAGATGGACACAACACAAGGCCTGTATTTTTCTGTGGTGCTAAGGATCAAACCCGGGTCCTGCCCGCACTCTATGCTGAGCCACAATCCCAGCCCTTTTTTTTTAAATTTTATTTTGAGACAGACTCTTGCTAAGTTGCCCAGGGTGGCCTTGAACTTGTGAACTTCCTGCCTTGGCCTCCCAAGTCTCTGGGATCATACCACCCAGCAATATATTATTCTTTTCTCTCATTCTAATTAACATTTTCACTAAGTGAATCTTTCCCTGTGATTGCACAGTGCCCTACCTTGCTCTAGGCATTGAGAAACAGACGTGGAGAAAGGAGCCAAAAGTCCTCATAACTTGGGCCACAAAAGAGGCAATCGTGGACTGCAATGTGTTGCATAGAGACTCCTGATGAGATGAGAACGTGGGGCCACTGTGAGGAGGTGACCACAGGAGCTCAGTGAGAAGGCCGGCCCAGGTAAGTGTTAGGCAGAGTGATCAGCAGGTGCCAGGGTGTGGCAGACAGAAAGGCCTGGTGTGGGGGGGACCAAAAGGGACCGAAAGGTCTGGGTGGCCTCGGTTCAGGGAAGCAGGGATAATATAAGAGGAGAGGGAAAGCTGGGTGTGGTAGCACAAGCCTGTAATCCTAGCAACTTGGGAGGCTGAGGCAGGAGGAGGATCACAAGTTGGAGGTCACCCTGGGCAATTTAGAAGGATTCTATCTCAAAAAATCACACAAGGGCTGGAATGGGCTGGGGTTGTAACTTAGTGGCAGAGCACTTGCCTGGCACATGTGAGACACTGGGTTTTATTCTCAGCACCACACAAAAATAAAAAATAAAATAAAATAAAATAAAGGCATGCTGTCCATCTACAATTTTTTTTTTTTTTAAAGGTCGGGGGCGGTAACTCACTGGTAAAGTGCCCAGGTTTGGTCCCCAGGGAAAGAAAGAAGAAAGGAAGAAACAAAAGCAGAAACCCAGCTCTGTCCTTCAAGAGCTTTACTTTAAAAAACAAAAGTTCATTTTTCAGTGGCAGTTGAACACACACCTTTATTTTTACTTATTTATTTTTATGTGGTGCTGAGGATGGAACCCGGAGCCTTGCACGTGCTAGGTGGCGCTCTACCACTGAGCCACAACCCCACCCCAAGAGCTTTACTTTTCTATTCTTTTTTTTTTTTTTTCCTGTGCTGGTGGCCAAACCCCGGCCCTTGCTCACGCCCGGCGAGTCCTTGACCACTGGCACCCCAGCCCTGTTGGCTCTTTGGGTTCAGTGTGGGGCTGAAATGTGTCACGGATGTCGACGTGGAGCTCAGATCCCACTGTCAGGCTCCTGAACAGTGAAGGTGCGACTCTGGCCATTCCTGGTGGAGAGGAGAGGCCCAGGTGTGGGTGCCTGTCCTGAGCGTTGCTGCTCCTACAGAAAGTGTGAGACCCCAGCATGTCTAGAAAGGCTGAGCGGTGAGTGCAGAGGGGCCCTGTGCCACGGGTGGCTTCAGTGAACAGGGTGGGTTTCGAGGGGTGGCTCTTGGCAGCGCCCTCGGTCCTTGCAGGCTGAGGTTCCTTGTGTCTCTGGTCCTGGCAGGAAAGTCCAGCACAGACTCACCACCAGTCCAAGGTGAGCCTGACGTATTCCTTGTTCACCACAGTCGTGCAGAGAAAGGGTTTAGTCATCTGGGAAAATCCCTCTGGGCCTGACCCACAGTGTCGTGTTCAATGTGTCTGCTGTGCCCAGACACACAGAGCTGTCTCTGATGCCGTTGGGTCCCCGCAGCAGGAACAACGCACCCTCTAATTGTGCCGAAGCTGCTGCCTACCTCCCTCTCTGCACAGACAGGCAGCACCTCCCATGACCCAACCCAGCTCTGACAGCAGCATGGCAGGCCCCACCTTCTGAACGTCTCCCCAGCCAAGGTGGCACCCCAGCCCCACGGGTCGCCCCAGCCTCCTCTACTGCCCAGCCTCCTTCATGGAGAGAGCGGTCCAAAGCCCACCCAGGAGGCCTGAGGACAAGGCTGCTCTCCCAGGCTCACAGCTACCCCTGGGTGTGTGTTCTCCCATCCCCAGCCTAGGGTCTCTGCAAACCTACTGTGCTGTCTCCTTTGGCTGCTGGGACTCCATGGATTTCTGCAGGAAGCCATGTAGGGTGGCCCACGGAGGAGACCTGAGGAAGTGGACTTTGGTGACGAAAGGCCCACATGGGTCAGGGCAAGGCCTCAGTGTGCTTTGGCCGGACTTAGCAGGGCTACATCTGCCAGGGCAACACTAGCAGCTGTGGTCCTACTCAGTGCTTCTCAGAGTCAGGGTTGCCTTGAGTTGTTGGCATGTTAGACCCCTAAGAAAGTCAGGGTCCACATGGCTGTCCCCACTTTTGGAATGGAGCTGTAGGTTCCTGATGTGTGTGGTTGGGAGCCAGATACAGAGCTCAGGTTGAGCTGTCTCAGGGCCTCTCTAGAGCTTAGGATAGAACCCGCCCGGCAGGAAGTAGGAGCACTGTCACCTGGATTCACATAGATGGCTTTGCTCAGGAATTCAGCCCATGAGGCCCAAGGTCAGTGTTGCTACCACCAACTGTGGCACCATCAAAACCCCTCCCTAGGGCTGGGTCGTGGCTCCGTGGCTTAACGCGCTGGGTTCCATCCTTAGCACCACATAAAACCCAACAAACAAACAAACAAAAAAACTCTCCTCCCTAGGCAAGTGCAGTGGCCCACACCTGTAATCCCAGCAGCTCGGGAGGCTGAGGCAGGAGGATCATGCATTCAAAGCCAGCCTCAGCAACTTAGGCCCTATCTATAAATAAAACAAAAACAGGCTGGAGTGTAGCTTGGTGTTCAAGTCCAAGTTCAGTCCCCAGGGCCAAAACAGAAATAAAAAAATCTCTCTTCTCTGCCTATGTCCCAACAATCCTGCTTCTGTGGTTAACGTAAGTGACTGCTTGCCCCCACACTAAGCAATGTAGACACAAAGCTGTCCACACATGTCCTTTGCACCCAGTGAGTGTGTGAGACACAAAGCCTGTTGTAGGACCAGGAACATCTCCCATCTGAAGCTGTCCTTGTGTCCAAGATAGTGAGGGGTGGAAACAGCCGGAACAGAAAATGCACGTATTTGCTCTTGGAAGTGAAGCAAGGTGGGGAGGGGGCGACTTCACCCTCACAGTTTTGTACCTTTCAAATTTTTAGCTATATGACTGAGTGACATAGTAATAAATAAATAAAAATGCAGAAACTTCTCAGAAAATGTTAGCTGGGTAGGGAATGGTACTTCTGCAGTGGTATGTTTTCAAACTAGACAAAGCTGGCCTTGCACAACACTGAAGGTGCTGATGCCATCGTCACTGTGAAAAAGCTCATGCTACTGATTTATTTTTGTACTGGGGATTGAACTCAGGAACACTGTATCACTGAGCCGCACCCCCCGCCCTAGTCCTTTTGAGACAGGGTTTTTTAAGTTGCCTAAGCGGGCCTCAAACTTGGGATCCTCTTGCCTCAGCCTCCCAAGTCACTGGATTACAGGCATGTGCCCCCGTGCCTGGCTGATGTTATTTTCTTACTGTGTGAGGAGCCACTCTGAATGACCCACATCTTCCAGTCCTGGAGCAAGAAGCTCTGTCCAGGCACTACATTTGTGGTGACTTGGGCGTTGTCTGAGCTCCGGTAAAGGCACGTCTTCAGGTGTAGGTATCATCCTCAGGGTCGAGTTACACTCATCTGACCCTGGTAACCCTGCCCCTTCTGACCTTTTTTGGATGAAACTTTCTAAGAACTAGAGTCCCCCCAATAAACACTCACTTCCGAACGTGCTCGCTCTCTCTCGCCAGCCTCTCTGGACTTTCTCTTGCTCTCCCTCTTGGGGGGCCTGAGGCCGAGAGTGGAGAAGCCGCCCTGAAGCTTGTGTAAAGTAAAGTGTGTCTGTGTTTTGTTTAGTGTCCCTGCAGATTCACAGAGTGACCTGAAGGTCAGCTGCCCGCGTGGGCCAGGGGTGGCATTACTGGACTTTATTCCAATTAAAAAAAAAATATGGAAAACCTGTGAGCCATCGTTGTCAATGTCAGAGAGTCGGGATTTGCTGAATGAACAGAGACTCCTCAGGGGTGGAACAAGACTGAGGTGGAGTGGGGGCCACTGAGCACACAAGAAGGGGTCAGTGGTTGTGACCCCCAAGCCCTTCCCAGCCCCTTGTGCCCTTAAGGTGCGAGTTGAGTAGAGCCACCCTTCAAATAACCAGGTCGAAGCGTGAGCTTCTTTCATTTTCTTTTTTTTTTTTTTCAATATTTAAAAAAATATGTTACAAAACAATATCATTCATCATATATTTCTTGCTTATTTTCCTTCTTAAAAATATTAAAGTAATAAAAAAGTCACTTTATAAAATAATACAAAAGGACATGATCAGCTGGGGTGGCTGGACGCCGTCTGGGCTGCTGGGTGAGGGATCCAGTGCTTCGCTTCTGCTCCCCTCCCCACCACAGGCTCGGGGCTGGGGGCTGGGGCTGGGGCTGGGGCTGGGGCTGGGAGGAGGCCAGTGGGTATGGGAAAGGTCTCCAGGCTGCCCTCTGGATGGGCTTCCTGAGGGCCATGGGAGAGGAGCTGGGTGCAGGGCATCCACACCCAAGTGGGTGTGGCTGAGTCCTGGCTGGTCCTGGGAGAGGCGGAGGGCCTGCCAGTCACCAAGAGGTGGCCCTGGGCAGGGCTGGCCTGGCCCCTGGGTGCTGGCCCCTTCTCCAGGAGGCTCCCCTAGCTTCCACTGCTCAGCATCCCCAGCAGCTTGCTGGGCTCCAGTCCCTGCTGCTGGGCCACGGTCTGCACATCGAAGCCCATATGCATGAGGAACTGGGCCACGTTCATCTCCTGCCCCGTGAACTGGTCCCGGATGGTGGGACATGAGGGGTTGCAGTGAGGCCAAGGGCAGCTGTCCACGAGGTGGACGGGGCAGCCTTTCAGGGAGGCTTTGCTGGCCTTGTGGCTGTCATGGAGGCTTCTGTCCCAGCAGTGCAGTGCCCGAGGCAGTGAGGTCCCCTTCACCTGGACATCTGTCCAGTGACTGCAGACAGAAATCCGGGTGGGAGTCATGGAGGAGGGGCATTGCCACCACTGTGGAGGGGCCTGTGTAATCCTGGCCTCACAGCCAGCCACACAATGAATGTCTCTGACAACCCCAAAAGGCCCTTTAGTAAGTAGAGGCAGGGGTGGGGGGCTTGAGGGGGGACAAGTGCAGGCCAGGTGTTTGCAGGACAAGGGAGCCTGTGGTGTTTGAAATTAGTACTGCAGACCAAGGGGCCCCGGGGCCCAGGGACACTGACCTGCGGATGATGATCTCGTGAGAGAGGCAGGCAGGAGCAAAGCTGGCCCTGGGGGAGGAGACAGCAGCCTGAGCCCTGTGGCCCCCAGCCCCACCACCCTGTGCCGCAAGCCCCCGTGCTCCACCCTGTTTCCCTGCACCCCATCTTCTGGCTGGGGACCAGTCCTCCTGTCTGTGGCCAGGCAGCTGTTCCTCTGCCCAGGTCTTGTCCCCTCCTGACAGCATGCCCTGCTAACCCTGACCTCTGCCGACAAATCTTGCTCAGAGTCTACCTCCCCCTCTGGGGCCTGCCAGGCAGCAGCAGGCTGTCCCTGACAGATGACTCTCCTGCCACTTTAGACCTGTTTTTGAATTGGGTGGCTTACTGAGGACTGGGGGGGCTGCCGAGCGCGAGCGGGTCCCCAGCACACTCACGGCACGTCCTTGAGTGTGCTGCGCAGCTCGCGGCCCAGGTTCTGGATGTACAGCCACTGCCCCTCCTGCACTGGCTGCCCCGTGAGGTGCACGTTGTCCACGGTCAGCTGGGCCTCGTCAAACAGCCACTGCACCACGAACACTGGGCCTGGGAGGGCACCTGGCTCAGAGGGCTGGCCTTGTGCTGAGGTCCTGGCCAGTTCTCTGACAGGCTCAGAGGCCAGCTGGCCGGCCAGGTTCTCCCTACCAGTGTGTCCTCCCTTTTCCTTTTTTACAGTTCTGGGGACAGAACCCAGAGCCTCTACTACTGAATGACACCACACTTTTCCTTCTTTAAAGTCTGCCCTTGCTGCTGGGCATAGTGGTGCCCACCTGTGATCCCAGGGACTCAGGAGACTGATGCTGAAGGATTGACCAGCCTCAGCAATTTAGAAAGGTGCTAAGTAGCTTAGCAAGACCCTGTCTCCAAAATAAATAAAAAGGGCTAGGAAAGTAACTCAGTGGTAAAGCATCCCTGGGTGTTTGATCCCTGATGGAAGGAAGGAAGGAAGGAAGGAAGAAATTGCTCTTGGCCTGAGTCTCAGGGACTCTAATTTGACCAAAGTTTGGTGAGTAAGTCTTTTGCATGGGACCCCACTAGTCCTCAGAGTGTGGGGCCTACCTGAGGCCATGCAACTCAGGGCACAGCCGAGGGATTCAGTTCTAAAGCTTATCCCCAAGCAGTGGTGTAGACAGGGTCACCAACCATCCTGGTTTGCCTGGGTCTGGGGATTTCAGTGCTAAAACCAGGAGAGCTGCAGACAAACAGGAGTGACTGATCGCCTGGCATGGATTTGACCTGCATGGGCCAGGACAGGGGTCTCTCCACCCAGCAGCTCAGAGGCTGGACCAGGCTGGGTTTTACTTCCCATTGCTTCCCCGTAACCCTTTCAGGCCAGCCACTCACAGCGCAGAGTTGGGTAAACTTTGTAGCCAAAGAAGCAGTTCCACTCTTCCCCCTCCTTGAACTGGCGCCGACAGCGCTCCGGAACCATGCCGTTCCAGTACCTGGAGCCACAGCTGTAGGTCAGGCTGCTGTGGGTCCTCTCTCCCCAGGAGCTCCTCCCTCAGAGATGCCACCCTGTCCCAAGCCCTTTGCATGGACAGGTTCCCAAGCATGGGGCCGGGCCCCTCCCTCCCAGGTCACCTGATCCCACGACGGATGGCCTCTGTGGGGGCGCAGGTGATGGTGTCAATGCAGTCCGTGCGGCGGTACTGCTTGTTGTCCAGGAACCAGCCTGAGTCAGCCAGGCCTCGCACTTGGATGGCCGGGTAACCCAGGTCCTCCAGCTGCTCGGCCACACGGTCCACGTTCAACAGCACCCCAGTGCCCCCAGCACTGCAGGGAAGGCCAGACATGAGGCCAGCTGGCTGGGGAGTGGCACCCAACACCCAGACCAGGGCCTGCTCAGCCCCGACCTGGGCCCTGAGGAAGGACGGGGCTCTTGCTGCCTCCCAAGGATGCATCTGGACAGTGGATGCATTGCCTGCTCACATGTAAAACCCGTGGGCCTCTTGAGGGCCCAAGGCAGGGGACTGATAGAGCCCCAGGCTGGCAGCAGAGGCCTCTACTCCTGCTCAGCACCGAGCTCTTCCCTCGTCCTTCCCTCCCTCACCTTCTCTGCCTCAATTTCTTTGTCTGGAAATAAAGATAAACTACGTTGCCTCTGGCCCTTTCACTCACTCCACATACACACGGTGCTACCGGACAGGATTGAGACTGGACAGCAGCAGGGAGCCCTTGTACCTGTGAGCCCTAGCGAAGAGGCAGCTGTCTACAGCAGACCCCTGACCAACTGCCTGGGTCTGCAGCCTGAGCTCCTTGGAGGCTTAACCTCCAGGACACCCCTGGTGGTCCATGTTCTGGTTGCAGCCTCAACCCCATCACTCCCCATCAAGGCCTCGCAAGGCTGGAGCTAGCAGGGACTGGACCTTGCCCCCCACCCCAGCTCTGCCTGGGCCTCCTCCTCTCCGTCCCACCCACACTCCCATCCCAGCTTGCCCCAGGGGCTACCGCCGCCTCCCCACCCAGCCCTGTCCTGCCCACCTGCTCCCGGCCAGCAGCAGCACCTTGGCCCCGCTCAGCCCTTGGCCCAGGAGCTCACGCACCACCTCCTGGATGATGAGGGCGCCCATGAAGGCATACTCGTCTGCGTGCAGGAGGGGTGGCTTCAGGCAGGGCCTGGGCAGAAAGAAAGACCTCCACCCAGGCCAGCATGAGGAAGGTCCTGGGGTGTCCCTGGGGTGGGGGTAGACTGGAGGGAGGTGGGTCAGGTGCAAGAGGACCTTCTGGGGGCCCCTCCCCAGGGAACACTCAGGAGTGAGGACACCTCAGGGGCCAGGCCAGCCACAGATAAGCTGGCACCTGAGGACAGGTGTCAAGGAGTTTGGGAAGGCTGAAAGTCTGCCCTTCCCCAGAAGCCCACCATCCTGCCTGGTCACAAGGAAGGGGCTTGGAAACCAGAGACTCACTCTTCTCAGACTTGGAAGACGCCCCACTCCAAACGTCACTGGAGCAGTAGGGGATGAAGCTGAAACAGGAACCTGTGAGTCTGCTCTGCTGCCAAGTCCCCAGGAAAGACCACCAGGACAGGACCCCTCCCCAGCAGTACCCCCCAAGGACCACACCTACCAGGAAGAACCCTTCAGGACAGGACCCTCCAGGGAAGACCCCCCCCAAGACACCCCTGTGCTCTTACACCATGTTGGCATTCCACCAGTGGGGATTCTCCTCCGGCTGAGAAGACAGGATCCCGGTTCCTGGAGACAGACAGGCAGTGGAGCTTTCCTTCTTGTGGGAGGGGCTGTGCAAAGATGGAGACTGCAGGAGGGTGTGGGGGACAGGGGCTCCTGCTTGGCCCTGGCAAGGGAGGCAGGTGATACTTCTGGCCTGAGCCAAGGGTGCCAGGGAAGTGGGGGATGGGCGGGCTTAGTTACTGCGGGAGGTCACAGAGGTCACGATGCCCAGCCAGGCTGTGACACTGGATGCAACCCTTGGCCTTCCCACTCTACACCAGGTGCTTCAACCCTGGTCGGGGGTGGTGATGGGTGACCACCATGAGCACTGGAAAGTTACTTGTAGCATGGTAACCAAGGTAAGACAGAGTGCTTGCTGGCCTCCGGGAGCTCAGAGTGCTGCTAGGGGCATGTCCCAGGTGAAGAGATCCTTTTCTGCAGGACCTCATTTTGAGAGCTTACTGCCCTGAGGCTATTCCCCATCTCAAGGCTCCCTGCTAGCAGGCCCCCCACTGCTGACCTGTCCTCGTGTGCGGCCAGTCTTTGGAGCTCATAAGGCGACGCATGGTGTCATATCTGGTGTTGCAGTTCTCCCGGTTAAAGCAGTACCAGCCGCCTGCAGACACAGTCGCCAAGGTCTAGCCCATGTATCTAGGGGACTCCAGCCCTCCCCCTCCTGGTTCCCTAGAACGCACCTTCCAGAAAGAGTAGCCACCGCCGGCTGCCCTTGGACTCCTTTAGGTAGTAACTGCAGGGAA